CATGCTCATGTGCAATAGAAATTAAGATTAATTTTGTTTTTTTTTGTTTTTTTGGTTACTGTTAACATATCATATAATATTGCACATTGTATTATTCTGTTTGAATATTTCGATTCGAATTGAGCGAATATACTCTAATCTTTGTATCAACATTTAACAACTATAGAAAGAAAAAACGAACCAAAGACTATTTATATTTACTTCTTTATGATTAAAAATGTGTTTGAGTGGTTGATACAATTTATGGAAGATCAAAAAAAAGAAGAAGAAAGAAATACATATAAACGAAAAGAAGAAGAAGAAGAAAAAAAAAGAGAAGGATGTCAAGTGCGCTTTATGACATGTCAATATATGAAGAAAAAAAAAAATGGAGAAAAGAAAACGAATGGGAAATTAGTTTTTTTTTTTTTCACTGAGCTGTATTGTCAATGATCATCACTGTGATTCGTTAAACTAGCGAATGAATATAATCTTTAACATCCAACCAATGAACACTTTTTTCTATTATGATTAAATATGGTAGAATAATCAATGATTTTTATTTGTTACATTCTCACTCTTATCAACGATCATGATAATGATTTTTTAACTATTTATTATTGTTATTATTATTATTATTATTAATACTTGACATTCTAATAATAATAAGAAATATGACAACAAATACTGGTAAGCAAAACAAAAAAGATATTAAATATTAGATTTTAACATATAGTTGATTATCATACATTCTATGTTACAAAAATTCCTATAGAATAAAATTTAAATTAGAAATTAAAGTTTATTAAATTTATCATCAAATAATTGTTTCAGCTTCGTTCTTCATTTTAAAAATTAGTTTACTCTATTTTAACAGTAAAAAGACTATCTGAAGTACCAAAAAAGTATAACCTGTTTAATTACGATTAATCTTTCATCAAATAGCCAATATTTATACGATGAGTTATATTTCGAATAATTCGTGTTTTTATCTCGATACATGAAAAAGTATCTGTTTTAGATTGTTAATGATCAAGAAAATTATAAATAAAAAACGAGAAAAACTCATCAATTCAATTTGAATCATTTTTATATCCGAAAAAATTGATGTAATACAATTGATGTGAGACAGAGAGGGAGAGAGAGAGAGACAAGTTTGAAGCGGTGTATTCGTCGACATATTCATTTTTTTCCTGACTTGTCGACAACATGTTGGGCAGGGAGATGAAAGATGTCTGTGAGCCATCGACACTATAAAGTGTCGACGAATCGGGACTGAATCGTTTGAAGCACATTTAGATTTTAAAACATTGTATTTCAGAAAATAATTTATTTTATTAGTGAGAAGACAGAAAGATTAATATTTTAATTTACAGATACATTTGTGATTCGTAAAGTATGTCAGAAAAATATTTAGACGGATACATCAATAAGTAATTTAAAAATCTCTTTATTTGAGAGTTTTGTTACAACAATCAAAAACATTACTATTACAAGATAGTGAAATGTTAAATATGTTGAAAAAAATAACGCTTTTTAAAGCCATAATCTATATCAGAGTTCTTTACTCAGATCTTATTAAATATTTTTTATCAATTTGTTTTCCTTCATCGTTTTCTATTTTCCTAAAAAGCTTATCTCGAAACGCTCGTTTTATTTTTCTAATTATTCCTGGTAAGAAAAATTTCTTTATATTTTATCATCCGTAAATAATCATTGATAATGAATTTATATATGCATGTGGTTGATAGAATGGTACATTGACATGTTTTAAAAATACTTGAATTGATGTTTTCTACTATCTGTATGTATACTAAAAATGTACACAGATATATGAGTTGAGATGCGAAAATTGAAAAAATTGAGGATTGGAAGTTGACGACACGTTATCCAATTATAAATACATGAATAGAAGAAAAAAAAAAATGACGAAAAAAATCATTTCTTTTCATAAAAAGAAACAAATATTTCAATAGAACTTTTTTCGATACAGACAATATATATGTTTATCTATAGGGGATATATATCTTTTTCTATTAATAAATACATAGACATCTACAAATTCACTTACTAATCGATCTTTTATGTAGAAAGTGAGAGAAAGAGATATTCAATTTATGAACTATTCTATGGATATCTATCCGATTCGTGCGCAAATAAATAAAACAAAAATTGACACGCGCAGAACGTCCAATAGAGACAATAAGCGATGAATAGGAAAACGAAACAAATTATTTTTTGCTCTTGTTTCGGCATGCGTTTGCTGTTTAGCATGCGATTATTAAGTACTCATTAATTATATACCAAAGTATGCGCGAAAAGTTTTATTCATCCTCGTGTTGCTACTCAATACATTAGATCAGACTTGAATTTATCTACTTTATGGAACAACATTGTACCAGTTGTGTTTGATTCTTGCTGCTTTCTTGTCGTTGATGTGTTCTAGTGCTCGCAAATGATATGAATCAAAAGAAGACGAAGAGCTCATTTTATTATTGAACAGATACACCGAGAGTCTCATTTTTGTAAATGAGAATGTGATCTTGACTATGCTCTAAAAAATCCAGCTTTGTCTATCCGTCTTAATTTAGGATTTTTGTTTCTGTAACATACTCATCTGTCTTACTTTTGTAATTGACGAAGAAGTCAATCGTCTCGAAATTTTTTTCGATTTCTTACATAAGTCGTTGACTACCATATCGAGCATGACAACACTTATGTATTGTCATGCTCCTGTATAACAGTGCTAGCCGTCCTAAAGGATTTACACTAGTATCAAAATAAAACTGATAAATTGTTCAACTTAAAATAAGAAAATTCCATTCGGCTATTTCCAATCGACTTATGCCGTCTTATTTTAAGTCAAATTTTGTTCTGAAAAATGGTTAGAGAAAAGCAATGAAAAATCAGAATGATGAGGAAGAAAAGATGGTAATTTTTTTACGCTCTTCTCAGATGTAATTAAAATTTGCTTTGTGCTCGACTGTTAAACTTGACGAGTCTAAAAAAATATGTCTTAGAATAAGATCCGTAAGTTGACTGACGACGAGCTCCATAAAAAGGTCTTAAAATGAGACGCATAAGCATAAAATCAATCGAAAGGTCTTTTTTCAAGGTCTTTTATGGAGTTTGAACGATGAGTCTTACTTTAAGATATTCGTCTTATTTCTTATGGTAGATTACATTTTAAAACTAGTCCCACCATATACTAGTATCATAGTATCAAAGGAAGCTAGTGCAGCCAATTTGATTGATGTCAATATTTTAAGAGAAAAATGGAAAAATGTTCAGTATAATTTTAATAACTGAACTGAGGATAAAAGTGATTTTCTTTTAATTGTAATTTATAAAACTTTAAAATCTTAAAGCAGTCATCGATACAGTTTTTCTCATTCTTCTCTTGGTTTAAATGATAAAGGCGCTTCTCCTTTTGATTCATGCTATTTTCCAACACTAGAACATACCAGCGATGACAAAGTAGCAAGAATCAAACACAACTGGTAAAATGTTAAAAAAGTTGTACAAAAAAAAATTATATTTCTCATAGAAAGAGGGAAAGCGCCTACCGAGCACAGGCGTCCTTACTACAAAAAAATTTGGGCTCCAATTTTCATTTACCTCCTCTGCTTTTATGGCCTCGGAGTGCTTCTGATTTTTCCATCAAGTAGATAATTACAGGTCTAACTTATTGAGTGACAAAATAGAGATGTTCAGGGTAGTTAATTGTTCTGTTCTAATCTACCTTCTGAAAGCTTTTAGAAGCCCAGGCCTACCCTACTATACTTTAGTTTACCTTAAAGCTGTCTTACCCTAAGACCGCCTTGTACTATGGTAAAACGAAAATGAATGAAACAGACTTGTTTTTAAACGTTTTGCGTGCATTTTCTGTCAAACGATGTTGAGTAGGTTTTCAACATAGACCTGCAATTAATTCTGTACAAGAATTTAATCCTTTTTTAAAGTAAAGCAAGAAAATCAAATTTCTATTGCTAGTTCATAGATATTCCGGTACGAGAATGTCAAAATAAGAATTTCCTAGAATTTGCCGTCTGGACATGAAAGTTTTTAGCATTTGAGATAAGACTACTTTTTCCAACGATACTTCTCTATTTTATTTTTTAGCAACAGTCATTATCATAGGATTATTCACAGTGACCTCTCTCACCGCTGATGAGAATTCTTTCTTTCATAGAAAATGATTAAAGATTTATATTATAAAAGAAAAAATTTCCGCAGTTCATTAACTTTACTAATTCCGTTAGAGAGTTACAAACTCATATATAATCACACATGTTCAATTCCACTAAAATTTTCGATTTGACTAATAATACATGATCATGTTTTGCTTTATATGAGAAGTCGGATAGAGCATGTGCTCTTTCTTGCACATGTTAAGCTCTCAGACTATGAAGTTGTTGATTTTCGCTCACACATCATTGCAACTTTAGCTAAATTCATTTTCTTTCAATTCATTCTGAGTATGCCACAGCATACTACAAATTCAATCTGTGTTTATCATGATTGATTTAACGTTATTTAAATATCTTATATTAAATATTCGATGAAATGATCAATGAATTATGCTTCATGCTGAGTTCATGCCGTTTTTCGTGTCAATCAAATGAAAATAGTCTACTCTTCTTTTTCACCAAATTGACATCATTAAACATCATTAAACTTGTCATGATACCAAGAAATAAGCTTTCTATAAGAAGAAAAAATAAAAAGTCTTCTTCATTCTCGTTGACACAACGTCACTTTCCGTTCAAGAGCTATATTAACAAAGGATAGAACTTTTTAATCATTGAGATCTACAACCTCGAAATAAGAAAAAGTTGCTATATGTCACAATGTTACGATATATTTAAACTTTTCCCTTATGCATCGAAATTATGGTCCAGTTCGACGTAATTTCTTTTTAAAAATTCGAAAACACTTACTCATCGTGTGTTATGATGTAAGAACAAAATAACATTTAATTAAAACCAATTTTCTTTCCTCGCTGTTCTTTTCGACCAAAAATGTATCATATTCTACCATTCAATGAATTATATGAACATCAACTCCAGTCTTCAGATTTCTTCGGAAAATCAGATATTTTATTTCTTCAAGGTTCTCCATCAAAATCTTCAGAATGTTCTACGAATATAAGTCCATCATCGAGCATACATGATGTTGAAGAAAATAGTGATGAAGCACCTGATACGCATGTTAAGGAGCAAACATCATCAACAGTAAACACGGAGCAAACTTTATCCACGAATGATCCGAATCCATTTGGTATTTTATCAATGTGTTTACCATTGAGCTCATCCACATCACACTCTTCGTCGTCATCTTCATCAAAAATTCTTCGTCCTCATTCCTATTCAAATCATCGTTATGTGGTGCATCCTTATCCAATTTCTCCTCAAGCTTATTTTGCTAATATAGCTAAATATGCGGAAAATCAGGCCACACTCACAGCAGCTACACAATCCATAAATGTTCACGTTGAACAACAACAACAACAACAACAGCAACGAAATCAACAACAAACAGTAAATAGTAACAATAAGTTGACAAGTTTAACATGTGCAGTCTGTGGTGATATTAGTAGTGGAAAACATTATGGAATATTAGCATGTAATGGATGTAGTGGATTTTTCAAACGAAGTGTAAGAAGAAAATTAATCTATCGGTACGTTAACTACTAAATGAATTTGAAATGAAGGCAATTAGTTTTATACTTTAGATGTCAAGCAGGTACGGGGATGTGTGTCGTGGACAAAGCACATCGTAATCAATGTCAAGCATGTAGACTAAAAAAATGTATGCAAATGGGGATGATCAAAGAAGGTTAGTGCGATAATGACACTTATGGACAACATTAATCAATGATCGATGAATCTTTTTCTCTATTTAGCCGTGCAAAATGAACGTCAACCTCGTAACAGTGCTCAAGTTCGTCCTGATTCCGTTGATTTTCATTGTGATGGTACAACAATATCTGTCATGCATTCAACTAAAGTAAACAATAATTTGAGTTCAATACCATCACCACAATCGGATAAATCAGATGAACATTCATCCCAAAGTGAAAACTCATTTGAAATGAAAAAAAACATCAAACAAGATGGTACGTGTTGTTTTTTAACTTAAATAAGCAGACATATCATAATTCAAATATGTTTCAGAAAATTGTTCGAGCTATGATCGAGTCAACTATGTAAATGGAACATCGTCATCGAATCAACGTCTCATAACAACGATAATGGAAAATGCTCTTTATGCAAATCAAAACATGCAAACAAATGATTCGGTTTATGCTATTGCCGTACAAATATTGTTAATGATTGTCAGATGGATTAAACATTTGCCAACATTTTCTAGTTTACCATTTAGAGACCAGGTAAAGCAGTGATCTTAATAGGACAACAAGTAGAACACTAGTTTCAAGATTAATATTGTCTCTTTTGTTAAAAGTACCAATAAGATTAATTTTAAAAATAGTTTTAATTTTCTATTTTTCGAAAAAGAAACATTCTTCATTTAACGACCAGTTCATATGTCACACCATCACACATATTTACTAACTGTACTATTTGAGAAGAAGAAGAAGAGTTCCTATAGCGCATATAAGTTCAAAGATAAAATGATTTACACAGATTATAGACTATTTTGTGTACACATTTAATCCTATATCATGTCATTTCAAAAAAACAAGACATAACGTTTTCAAAGTTTGTGTGGTGTGTTTTCGATTGATTGTTGATGAACTTCAAGACGATCAAATTTTTCTATTTTAAAGGAATAAACAGAAAAGAAGAACAAAGTCGTACGCCGAAGAAAGTGATAATTAAGTGTTCGTTAGATCAAGCGTTTAGTGTAGGAAATAGTTAAATTGTACTAGCTCAAATTAAAACATGATTACCATTTTGACGGAGGTTCTTCGATTTTTACGATGCGGTTCTTTTATTCGCGCCACACGGCAATTTTAACGATGATACTAGACTCGAAACTTACTAACTCAATGGTGGAATTTTTGATAAGACTATCTTTCCAATAGACAAAATTCTCGATATTAATCGTTTGACAGATATTTATAACATTATTTTATGATGTCTTATTGTCACCATTGCTTCTAATTTGAATGTGATTATTATCTATTGTATGCATAGCGAACAGTATTCTTTCTTTTTGAAGTGAAGTATCGATGTAATTCACTCATCATGTTCAATACTTTAAAAAACAATCTCAGATATAGTAGTGAAATTCAATTATCGCAAAGAGATCATGTGTATGAAGAGAGAGAGAGAGAGAGAAAATGTAATAATCTTCAAATAAATAGACTGTTTCTTCGTATAAAAGACAGAGAAACAAGAAATCAAACCTATATATGATCATGAACATGATGATTATATTAATGAACGATGTATTCGTAGTAAAAGATATTTGATACATCTGTCACCTATTTTTTCATGTAATGATACCTTCTGTGTGTGTGATTGATTTGTTGATAAATCTTCAAACAAGGATGAAGCACTTATTGCTAGTAATACAAAAAATGAACTGTTTTCAATTGTATTCTAGAAAAAATATAATTTTCTTTGAAATTAATTGATGATCTTTCCGTCACAAGGTAGTTTTAGATTATAATCGAGTTCCAGTATTGTCTTAACGAATTAATATCTAACAAGTTTTAAGTTTTATGTAACATGTTAGAATCGTCGGATATTTAAGATCGACAGTATTGTCACTAAACTACTCGAGTTCTATTGTGTAGCAATTCTACTAGATTACAGGAACAGTTTCGTTCGACTTTGCACGTTAGCACGAATGCGACAAGGAATATTTTACTGTTAAAACCTGCTACTGACCACATTTATCAGTAAAAAAATAAAGGTTCAACGTAAATTTGGATTCCATGAGACTTAGTAGATGTATCAGATATGTTGAGGAAAAATCAGTTTACTAATTAATCTCTTAATTAAGGTTATATTATTGGAAGAATCTTGGTCTGAATTATTTCTTTTATGGGCTATTCAATGTTCATTATCTATTGATGGCGGTCCATTATTTACAAATCAAGAATGTTTCAATGATAAATTATTATTTCGAACACTGAACGATTTACCGTATCGTTTTAAACAACTAAAACTTGATCCAATTGAATTTGCTTGTTTAAAAGCCATTATTCTGTTTAGAGCAGGTAAGTATTTGAATTAAAACAAAAATGTCAGTTTCTATCAAATTTTTCTTTTAAGAAACAAAAAGCTTAAAAGAACCAAAAATTGTTGAAAATTTACAAGATCAAGCACAAATAACATTATCACAACACACTCAACTTCATCATCCAACGCAACAAACAAGGTATGGCGTATTCCTTGACGTTTTTTTATACAAATGATATTTATTAACTTAACCCCGTTGTTAACTCTCGTCTGTGATTCTTTTAGATTTGGTCGTTTACTGTTAACGTTATCGTTACTTCGATCAGTCCCATCATCATTAATTGAAAAAGTTTATTTTTCACGAACAATTGGTAATACACCAATGGAAAAACTTCTAAGTGACATGTTTAAAAATTAATATTTGCATATTTATTGTCTTTGTTTTTTAATCGCGAATCTATCTATATCGTATATATCATTTCTGAAATATTTGATCTGTAATTAATTTCATATCGCCATTTGCTTCTTCAACACCCTCTTCCGTTAAAGTTTTTATTCGTTTTTCTAATAATGGATGAGTAAAGTAACCTGAAATAAGACCAAAAAAAATGTATTATAAAGAGATCCTTTTGTAAGGCTTTGCTGTGCGTCCTTTTTTATTAAGGATATCGGCTAGACATAGAAGAAATTGCTTTGAACTACTTGTTTCAAGAACGAAGGTATTACTGCATACAAAGCATTTTTACATAACTCAATTTGAACAATCTTTAAGAACTTCTAGTCGAACAACATAAAGCACCGTTGAGCAAAGGAAAACCCATTTCAGATCGATTTTCTCTCATTCAATTTGTTAGGGTGCCGAATGAATTTCCACTTTGGAACATTGTACAAAAAATTCGTTTGTAAGACAGAAAGTGTTTTCAGAAATGAAAATAAGAAAATTTCGTCAAACAAGCTGTTAAGACTTGATTGATTTCCACTATCTCAATAATCAAAGATCTCTTGCTCTCTGAAAGTTCATGCGACACATTAACCATAATGACGTCTAGCAGCTCTTCTGTATGCTGTTATCCAAAAGCACAATGTTTAGGCCGATTTTGGTAATTTCCTTATAAAAATCCAGAAAATGCTAGAAAAATTGCGAAAAGGTAGGTTTCGTAGTAGGACATCGGTTCCACTCTTCTCTTTAGTACGAATTTGTTACTATTGAACAATTACACTGCTGACAATAATGAAATACTCTCAACGAATACCAGCAATCAATTAGTTAGTAAATAAACAATTCGGGCTCTATTTCACACGTATGGAATGAATGCACATATTACAGAACACACAATGAAAAACTAATTACACATTAAAGAGCGCTTCCTTTGAGTTGCAACAACTCGAAAGTAAATGAAAATTTAGAATACACATAAGCAAACTCACTAGATGCAAATTCTCGAACATTTTCTGGTCGTTGAAGACATGCCTGCCTAGAAATAGAAAGCAAAGAGAATAAATTATAGTCGCCATATTCAAAGATCTTTATATACCGTATAAAATCTCTGATCATAAACTGTAACTCTGGATGTTGCTGCATATAACGTTCATTTTCTATCCGTCGACGAATCTAAATATGTCATTGAAAAAGAACAAGTTCGTTTTCTTTCATGTAAGTGACTACCAAATGACGCAATCAAAGCAAACAAGCGCTACAACTTACCTTCATTTCATTGAGTTTTTTTTGTTGTTCTTGGGTTAGGGCTCCAACGTCATATTTTTCACTACCATATGGTGCATTTTCTATCGGCCTCGCGTCCATTTATCTCAGCCTTTCATCTAATTCACTGAAAAGAAGCTCGTAACTGTTTTATGTGGAAAACTGAGGACGACATGAAAAATGTTTCCATCGAACAAAAATTTCCTATTACGTCACTTGGAAACGAGAGCACACACTTATTGTTTTGAATAATAGTGATACCTGCTTTATTGTTTAGACTTAAGAAACAAACTAGAAACTTGTTCACGTGCATCACAGAGCTCCGGTAGAAATCATTGAGGTCTGAATGTGCTTTTCTATTCGCCTAATATGTACCACTACTGATGAGGAATGAGTCATGCATGATACTTAAATCCCGTTATTTATTCTCATATGATATGATATATTAACATAAACCACTCAAGTTTAAACCAGTAAAAGTTTACAAATATACAAAATCACTCAAATAAGATTACTTAAGAAAATGTCTAGAGACGGTCAAGATGATTTTGATGGTTTAGAGTTTATTCCAACGTTTCTGAAAGTAAAACAAATAGTATTATTACGTTATAATGACTTTTTGGATTTATTGAATGAATTTAATACAACATTGAAAACATTTACGAATGATGAAGATTATTTTCTTCAATTTTCAATTGTTCCTGGAACAGATAAAACCGTGTTATGGAAAGCACTTATTCGAATTAAATGTACTCGGGTACTATTTGATGACTATTTGCTGTTCTATACGTTCTTAATACATTTTATTTAATTCAGATTTTAAAAGTAGATGACAGTATCCAGAATGAATCCGTCTTGAATTTACATCAGTTCTTGTCAGTTCATCAATCTTTATTACAACAAATATCAACATTACAAAAATGTCTAACACCACTAACAAATTCTACAGCAAATCCAGTCCAATCATTATATAATACGTCACCAACCACGTCAATATCATCCACAAAATTGTGAGTTATTCAAATAATTTTCTAGATTCGTCTAAAATATCGCTTGTTTATCTCTCTCTCTCACTCTTTTAGATCTGTTCAATTACCAGATGCAAATGAATGTTGTATTTGTATGGATAGAACGGCGAACTTACTCTTACCATGTACACACCAATACTGCGAAGAATGTTTTCAACAGTGGTATGAAAGACATTACATATTGTTTTTGTTTAAATATCTATATAAGTAGATCATCAATGAATAAAAATTACTCAGTAAATAAGTGTTTTTAACTGACAGATATGGAACGGTTTAGCACTGTCTTAAGAATCCAATTTTTTCCGTATAACGTACGGGGACTACTTCTCAACTCACTCTATTTACTCTCTTGTTTACGCATTATAGGTCAACGCAATCATCGTCATCGCACACTTGTCCACTCTGTCGTATTGAAACACAAGCAGATTCTGGATTTATATTGACAGAAAAACCAAAATATGATAATGTTAAAAAAATGCTTACTGAATCGATCTTATCACTACCTGACGATTATAATCATTAATCATCACTACTAAAAAGTGATAAAGAATAATGTGCACATTATCGTTATTTAAGCAGTTTTTTTTTGTCTGAATGAATTTCTGAGCTTTGCGAAGAAATCTTATTAAACACAATCATATATGTAAATATTGCTAGTTATTCTGAGCGTCCTGGTGCGGCTAAATTTTTTCTGTTTATTATTGATTAATTCATATAGCGAATGTTCTTTTCTTTTCACTAGTCGGTCTTGTTTTTCTGTTTATACCGTATTAATCAGCGTCTTTGTATTCTGAACAGTAATATTTATATGAAGTTTTTATTGGTTACGGTTCTATTAAGCTTTTCCTGTTGAAAGAAAATCAATAAATGTTTGTAAAATTAATTTTTTGTTTATTTTTAAAAGTCAATTACAATCCAGCAATTCTTTCAGAGATTTTGAACAAATAATATTTGTTACTGTTTGTATGCATGTTGTAGATTTAGTTTTGGCTTTATTTCTTTTCAATTTTTGTACTCAACGTGTACATAAAAATCAGATGAATCAATATCTGGAGGATGCGAAATTACAGTTGGTGAGTTTTTAATTAGATAACCCATTAGAGATGGATTCCAGGATATATACAACTAAAATAAGCGATTGGTACATTTATTGATTGAGAGTAAGAAGTGATTTAATCATAGAAGTATTCTCAACACACGTACGATGAAAGCAATATTTATTCCGTTTTAAATCGCAAAATTTTATTTAAACGATGTATATTTTTCGTTCGGTTTTTAAAACTAAAGAACAAAAAAATCGTCTTTTTTACTGTACGTCTTTTAAGAATATTCTATCTACATAAAATAATCTTTTTGTCTTAAAGGCTTTCAAAATGTTATGCTATCTCTGAATCAGTTCGTCCAGTATAAAACTAATATATTAACACAATAAGATATTTAACGCGATCATATCTTAGTTACAAGTAATTAATGAAATGGAGTTTCCATTGGAAGTTTTGGAAATAATTAGAAATTAATGTGAAAGTCTCACATTAAATTAGTGCACATGAATTTTTTCTGGTTAAAAATCAATTCAAATTAATTTAACTTGATAAATTAATTCGAACTGATTAAAATTCAATTGATTTAAATTAATTTGAATTGATTTTTAATCAGAAAAAAATTCATGTGCACTAATTTAATATGAGACTTTCACATTAATTTCTAATTATTTCCAAAAGTTCCAATGGATTGGAATTGGTGAGTGCTGTGTAGTAAACATTTGAAAAGTGCTGTTGAAAACTTTCGCATACAGTGACTTTTTCTGCTTCTCTCACGAACGACTGCTTTAGAATCTATGAACAAAATTATATGCAACTAGATGTCACACAGCTATAACAGCATCTAAAATTTCGTATTTGACTATATATCAACGGATAGGAGTAAATAGCAAATCGAAACGGAGATATATGTCTATCGTTTACGTAGCACCACATTTGAAGTATTTTGTATGCTCGTCAAACATGCATCTTTTACACATCGACATTTCAGGACAATCAAAAGTAGTTAGTTTTTGAGTTGATTCTCTAGAACCTCTCTAAAAACTAGTATCTTCAGAAAATGTTTAGCTAATCAAATTTTTAAAAATATTCAGTTAATTTAATTTATAGATTCTAAATAAATTGTTCATGAGAGTTTATAGGAATCAGAAAAAGTCACTATACGCGAAAGTTTTTAACAACACTTTTCAAACGTTTACTACACAGCACTCATCAATCCCAACTGTATTCCATTAATTACTTGTAACTAAGATACTGACCGCATCAAATATCTTATTGTGTTAATATATTCGTTTTATACTGGACGAACCAATTCGAAGAAAAGCCAGTATATCACGAAATACGTCATATCTGATCTAAACAACCATATTTGTTGACGTTCTAAAGTTAAAAAATTTCTTAACTATGGATGTTCTTTCAAATCTTTGTATTTCCATTAAAAGGTGAATTTGAGCAAATTTCGTTCTATTCGAGTAGTTTTGGGAAATGAAGCATGCGATTTGGATTCAACAATTTCTACGATCGCCTATGGATATTTTCTTCATTGTGTAAGTTAATAGTGTATGTATGTTCTGAAGATGTATTATCAAAATGAAAATTCTTTTCGAGATCTATCATTCAACATCAGAAGATGTTCTTTATTTACCCATATTAAACACCAATAAAAAAACTTTTCAACTACGCACAGAAACATTATGGTTTTTGAAACAAAATTCAATAAACGATTCACATTTGATATTTTTAAATGATAATGATAATATTGATTTACTAAAATTAAAAATGGAAAAAAAACTACAATTGACATTAGTTGATCATAATTATTTGAGAAACGATTTAAATGAAAATGTCGTCGAAATCATTGATCACCATTCACCAGATCAAAATATTTTATTAAAAGAGTAGGTGTATGTACTTTTGTTTTGCATGCTAGATCCAATTTTGAAGTTTGTTCTTAGCCATTCAGACTTTCTCCACCTTCACTGTTAACATTCAAAGTGATTAGCCGAAATTCAACCAAAAGTCGATCTGAAGTATTTCGTAAAGCATTCATGTTTTCCAAAGTTGATCTAGAGTGGCGATTCTAGAATTTTTCTTTGGTACGTGCAACACACAATAAAAGTATGAGGTACATGCAATCACCACCATAGAGATAAATTTTTTTAAGGCAGTTCTGTTGAGAAAAAAACACCGTTTTTTTGCTTGAAAGGTACTTGAAATTTTTGAAGTTTTATACGGTCAAAAGTCATTATCATTCACACTTGTATTTTTTAAACAAATTCACGGAAAAGCACCTGCATGCAGGTACGCTCATTTCTATAAAATTTAAAACCAGCACCTTCTTACTATGCGCATTTTGTTTATTCTATAAATTGATGTTTCGTTCTGAGAAAAAATAATGTGGAATCTGGGTGGGTTGGATCGGAAACATGTTTTTTTCTCAGAAATGCTCCACTTTTATTTTAACCAAACATTTGAAAAAAGACACTCGATAGAGCGCAGAAAGTTGTACATAGATCATAATTTTAATCGTTCCAACTCTAAAGCTATTCTAGCGAAATCAATAGAAACTCACCATTTTTTTAACTTGCTTATCGAACAGTCAAGAAACTGTGGAACATAGATCTTTTATAGTCAATATGAAGCTTGATTTATGTAACTCTTTTTAATTATGTAAGAATGAGATCTGTAGATTGTTTAGAATTTTATTTATATGTTCTACATTGTTCTATGAGTTTTGGAAAGCCATTGAACGTGAGTATCTCCAAAATTGTTTTCAATCATAATACAATCACATCTCATCTAGTATTACTAGTGTTTCAAGTTTCGAAGCTCCCCTACGCGAACTTTGTGAAGCACTGAAAACCTCTGAGAAATTAGATGTTTGGCCTTTTTTTGCAAAAGTTAGTAACGTAAAGTAAATAATTCTCTTTCAAATGAGACGTCTTCCGGCTTTATCTGATGTTTGCTTATGGAGATAGATGCTTAAAAGTTTCTGAGTATGCTGGAGCTTATGAGAAACATCTTAGATTAATAAAAATGAAATATCCCTGTAAGAAAAGTTCTTGGTTAAATTGAAAGTGGAGCCTTTTGGGATTCCGTAGAGTGATAAACTCATTTTTCCAACTCAATCCACCCAGATTCTGCATATTTTTTTCATAAAGAAATATTAATAGAATGCACATAGTGAGAAGGTGTAGGTTTTAACTTTTGTAACAATGAGCATGAAAGTACCCTGAAAACGAAAGTTCTAAATGTCATTGTTGAAACGAACGGGGTATGCAGGGAAATATTCTCTGATAACTGAAAATATTGTTTTTCGACATTGAAAGTTTAGAAAATTGTTGTTCGCTGGACTACTGATGTTGATGGAAAATATAAAAAATTAATTTCATATTATTTTTGTAAGAAAAAGATTCTAAAGCATTTCTGTGATATCTTTAACTCTAGAAAAATAGATATATTCTAATTCAATATGAAACAACTTGATTTTATTGTATTTAGTCCGTCGTCGATTACAATTGAAAAAGTTGGTTCATGTTGTACATTAATCGCAGAAAAACTTTTATCTGATAAACAATTTCAATTTACTGAGGAAATAGCAAATTTATTACGTGGTAAGTTAATTTCAATTTTTCATCTCTTTATTGAATTTATTGTTTCATACGTGTACATTTGAAAAAAGAAGAAAAAAAAAGAGATAAGAAAGAGTGAAAGATAAATCTTATAGTATATATATTTTTTCCCGTTATTTCAATTCTATTGTGAAGAAGCAACGAGGTCCGTCAACGTATTTTTTATTTCATTTTTTAACTAAATTTGAATAAGATATTAATATTTTTCATGATTAAGATTATAAAGAAATAAGTATGTCAAAATTATTAACTATTTTATTTATAGGTCCAATATTATTTGATACTATCAATTTTTCGACAGCAGCTGGTAAAACAACTGAAAAAGATTGTAATATATTTTCCAAATTAAAATCGATAATGGCAACATCAACAGATGATAAACAATTATTTAATGACTTAAATGAACAAGCAGCAGATATATCAGGTTTGTCATACTAGAAAACATTTTTGATCAATGAAAGCTAAAATCATTAAATCTGATGTTGTTTACAAACATGGATATTTTAAAATAAATTTATCTGGAATTCCATCAATTCATAGTTACTTGATGCAAACAGATTGTAATACTTGATTATAAATTTATCATTTTCGTTTTACAGCAATGTCAATTGAAGATTTATTACAAAAAGATTTAAAAATGAGTATGGGTCCAAATATTCGAATTGCCGTATCAAGTTTACCGATGAATAATACCTGTGAAGTACGTAATACGTCGAATTTTGAGTATGAGCAATTCTGATATCTTTAATATTTCAGGAGTTTATTAACAAGTTGAAAACAATGAAAGATATTGAAAGTTTTTTACAAAAAAATGACAATGCCGATGCTGTGATTATACTATCGGTGAAAACAAATGATAAAAATGAACCATCGAGACAATTGGGATTATTTGTTAAAAAATTTGAACATTTCAATAAGGTAAGTGATGAATCGAAAAAAAAGTTTATCTTTGATTAAAGAAAGGTATCTTCACAATCTTTTCTCTTTTTTAAAGTTATATAAATATATTCAACAAGAGGAACATGGTCTCGAATTACAAGAACGTTCAATACCGATTAATCAAGCACGTTTGAAATTATTTAATCAAAAAAATGCTCAAGCATCTAGGAAACAAATATTACCAATTATCGAACAATATGTGAAAAATTTTGAAGCTTCAAACGAATAAACGAGTTGAAAAACATTTTATAGGTTTTTTTTCACCTACATGTTATTTTTAGTCCTAATAGCCTCAGTTTTTTACACTTGACTTAATTAAAAAAGACAATGTTAACTTCAATAATTACTGATTTTCCCAAGTGGGGTATGATTTTACTACACATCGTCTCTATTGTTACACACACTAAAGAGAGACAATGGGATCTACTATCGTCGCCAAAAAGCAGTGCTGGTGACTGTTTTCCGAATAACTCTTAAATGCAAAACACTATAGACTTGCGGTTTTCACCATTCGATAGCCGAGATCTGATAGCATTTTACACTATACCATGGAGTTCAATAGTATTTTTGAAAAATTAACGTAAAATACTTTGGTTTTTGGAAAGGTTTTCTAGAAATCTTCCGGAGTAAAAGAAGATTGTACTAATTTTAAGTACAGAATCATATTGAGCAGATATATAGAGTATATTATGATATTCTGACGTAGTTCGGATAGCTTTTGGGTGAGTTATGAATTTTCTAATTCCACTAGTGTTTTGTGTATAAGAGTTATTTCGAAACAGTCAGCAGCACTACTTTTTGCCGACGATAGTAAACAAATATCAATCGTACTATCCATATACTTGAGAACCGCAAGAATGGTTTATCTTAGTGGAACATCCATCTCTTACCTTATTATTAATAAAAAAATAAAGTATACAGAAAAACATTTGAACACAATGAAATAATATAAAAAAAGTACAGAAAATCACAAAAATCATGGTTCTTGATCTATCTGTAATGTCATATTTAATAGTGGACCATTTTCATCGACTAGTATTGGTTCATTTGATGAACTCTCACAACTAATGTCATTTCGTCGAGCAAGTGTAGTTGTTATAAATGTACGATAACTCTCTGGTAACCGTATTAAACGTTTGACTTCATTTCCATCGAATTCTTCGAGAAAAAATAGTCGAGCACGTAATAGATCATTCAATAATTGTTCATCAGTCGGTGATGTTATCTTTAGTAAAGGTAGAATGAGAGTACTAGATATAAAGTGTAAAAGAGATAATATGTGTTCAATAATTTGTTCAAAATAACGTGTTTTATCGATTGAGTATAAAATTTTTAAACGTTTGAGCCATAGTTCTATTTCTTCACTAGAAAATTTTATCCTTGAAGATGTTGAATCAAAATATTTTGGAATTTCATATTGATCAATTGTCACTAAATATTTTGACGGTGTATTGGACGATGAGGGTTTGAGGTATTTACTTGAGGGAAATTTTACAGAGGCAGGAGTTTGTCGTGAAGATGATGTTGGACGCAAACGATGATTGCTAGAAGATGTAGGGTCTGTGTTCAATACCAAATCACTTGAATGAAAATCTTTTGATGATAAGGAGGGCTAAAAAGAATATTAAAAAAAATGTATTACGAGATAGCCCCAAACTAGATTATGTTAATTTTCGTATTTATTTATGTTTACAGGATATCTTTTTCATACAGTACAGAGGGTGAAGCGATTTTTTTTTCCTTTAAGTGAGAGGTGAACAGTTTCGCTTTTACCTGTACCATTATTCAAATAATTGACTTTTATACGTTGATAAAGATGAATTCATTGTAAATTCATTATCAAACTTAAGACGAATATAAAATTCATATATAAACTAGTCCCTAGAATAAAAGTTTTTCTAAAAACCGAAATGTTAGCATATCATATCTTCTTTTCAAAGGTAAATTAACACTATAACACTATAAATCAAATTTAATTTCATCTATCAGCAATCATTATTAATTCACTATCGTTTTAAAACTTTTCTTTTTTAAAATTATGCATTCATTTCGAAGTAAATATTTTATTTTCTTGAAATAAATCGAGTGTTAATATCTCTAGTCCTGACAATATGAAATTGATTATTTATCAGCTAGTTAGCTTCCCACGATGATATTTCTATCTCAGATAAACTTGATCTTAAGGGTACACCTCCTTATTTTAGAAAAATTTTCATTCTTCAGTTAAATATGGTGCATGATATACTGACGTATCCTCTACGAAATAAAACTACTCCTAACTCTACACAACCGTCCACTGAGGAGATACGAATTTTTAAAAAATTTTTCAACTTTTGAAAATTTGTTTTCATATAGTTAGTCTTGTAGGATAAAGAGTTCTGCACAAAACGAGATACCCTCCAGTCGTAAACCATGTTTTCTGATAGAGTTATGTTCATTTTAATGAATTTTTAGTTTCGAAAAACTATTTCGACGCTGAGTTATAGGGTTTTGAAACTCAAAAATCGAGGTTTCTGAAAAGTTTTTGAATACTTTTACTATAACTTTCGTACGAAACAATATTTTTCAAGCAAAAAAGAAAATTCTACTTAGTTTTCATCTTAAGTGTCTGTGACAAAAGTTTGAACCCAATTAAATGAAATTTTAGGCGGGTCGTAATGTGACACAATGAAAAACCAAGCTGGAAATGTCGCGAATGGTAATAACTGAAAACTGGAAACAAAAACGAAAAAATACTTCCTTCAGTTTCCAATCACTTCTGGTGAAAAAAAAGGGATAAATGGATACTTTTAGAAGTTGACAGTCACATCAACAGTTAAATTATATATCACGTAATTTAGTTAATCATTGCCTATTTCTACAGGTCATCGAGTCAAATAACAAGTGTAAATCAAAGAAATCCTGTTATATAGCATATTGTAATGAATTAATTTTATCGAACATACTTACGGAAATTCAGTAAGACATGATTATTATTTTAATCCGATCAAAGCCAGTTTTTTACTACTGTGACAATGAAATATGACGTCTTTTCCACCCATTTATTTAAAATAGATAAAAATTGAATTAATTTGCTTACTTGTTCAACTTTTTGTTTTGTTGGCATAATAACGTATTTATATTGTTCTAGTTCTCTTGCTAAAAATTCTCTACATGGTTGTTTTACATGATCAATCATATATTCGTCAGACAACTGTAGAAAATCTTCAATATTTGTTGGATTAATTGAATTATGGAATTGTGGATAAATATATATTAGTAGTTCCAAGATACTCTTGGATTTTTTCCCATTTAAAACTATTTCTTGTTCATTATGTTCTTTAAAATGACCGTCAAACATTCTCGTAAACACTGGAGATACCAATGATAAAATTAAACGATGACAATGAAATTTGACATGATCAGCTACGAGTATAACGTCTGATTTAGCATTTGACTTCGTAAAATAATCATAAGGTGAAATTGATTCACTTGTCGCAGAATATAGAAGATGCAATTGTGGTGGTGTACTCATAATTAACAAAAATATTATTCAAAAGTGTTGTTATTGTTCTATTCAAGAAAAATCAACTATTCACAATTATTGATATATAACTGTATATTGTACATTCTGCTTCTGAAGAACAAACAAAAGAAAATGACGAAACACACATGAATGAAGAAAGAACAGAGTTTTTCTTTTCTTTTTTTCATTTATAGTGAGAGAGTGAATGCTCGTCTGTATACGGAATTTTTATGTTATTGGTAGTAAACAAACTATTTGTCACAATTTTAACTATATATTTTTGAAAAGAACCAAAGAACATACAATAAGATTCTGTTCAATCAGTTTTTTTACGCACATGCGCATCTAAAAAAAGATTTATTCAGTTGTCATGAAAAACAAAGAAGAAAAACGTTTGAATGAAATGATGCCAGAAGCATTATAGAGGATTTGTGTAATTCGCGAATCATGAAAAAATTGAAATACAGACACCTGATAGAAAGTTTATCTATCCTTTTTGTGCAAGTGATTGTAGATGCAAAAGTGTATTATTTTGAAATCAAATAAAGTGAACGCATTTGCATTCTGTTAGTCTTCTGTATTTGGTTCGTTTCTTTCAAACTGCGTTGCAAAATCATTGTAAAATCAGCACAGTTCATATCGTTGCTCTTTTTGCAATTACGCAATATCTTTTTAGAACTCCAACACAATATTCTTTTTAGAACTCCAATAAACGGTTTCCTAACTATAATCGATCTACCTACAGTCATTATCATTATCAAGAAGTTTTAGAAACTCCACACTTGACTACATCGATAACATAACCTCTTAGTTTTAGTCTAGAGCTGGAACTCTCAAAAAAACTCGATCTGCAAAAATCTTTGTAGAATCTTCACCGATTCTACAATCTACAGTTTTTCTGCAATGCAGATGTGCCAAGATTTGGCCAAAGATCAGATGCAGATCTGCAAAAAAATCTTTACAGTTTCTTTGCAGAAAAACCGCAGATTTTTCAGTGTGCTGTGGGATACATTTATTTCATATATTTCAAATGTTTTGACACAAATATACAATTTACAGGAAATAAAAAAAACTGCAAAGAAATTGTAAAGATTTTTTGAAGATCTACATCAGTTCTTTGGTCAAATCTTGGCACATCTGCTTCGAAAAATCTACAAAGTTATTGCAAAGATTTTTGCAGATTTATGTTGCAGAAAAGTCACCTGGGAGCTCTTTCAATGGAATGTTATGATAGGAAAGCCGTATGGTATACATCATCATAGAGCGACATAAGGAACGAGAAAATTACGTTTTACCTAGACTTACGATATAACGACATTTTGTTTTAGAAATGAACCATTTGAACTTTTGGAGTGGTTATTACCATTCTCAAAAGTGGCAGCAATGGAATTACCACTTTCTCTCGTTTTTTCAAAAACTAACGTAGCGGAATTAAAGCAGAGAAAAGTGTTTAAAATGACTTTTTGGTAGGACAATGTGACTAAAGCTGAGAGTATACAAAAAGTGGCACGATAGAGGGAGCGATAAGGCGCAATGTAGAGTAAGAGAAGAACTTGGAAGAAAGTTTATTTTATGCCCAAGAAAACATCTCGTAACCAAGGAAAGCACAAAAAAACCAAAGGCTTGTAAATAAAGTGCCACCACGCGGAAAAGAGAACAACCGCGAAAAGAGAGTACACATCCCGACATTTCTCTTCCCTTTTTTGGACATTCATTCGATCGAATTCGGCTGTAATCAGTCATTCATTGCGAGGCCAGTGGTACACCGGCTTACTGAATCAAGTATTAGTTTTTTTAGCTCTACCGGTATTAGGAAAGATTGTAGCAACCTAACTAGACCTGTAGAACATCTCTCAACCGTTAGGGATGTCTTTAGAGTTGCTAGAAAAGCCAATCTGGTGCCAAGAAGCTGATTAGACCGAGGTAAGGTACGATGAGTTATGGAAAATTTTTTATTTTAAAGTCTTCAGCATGACAGTGCATTTTTCAGATTACCATTTACTTTTTGATCAGGACGCTCTGAGAGAGCAGGACACAAAATTGAACTTAGACAAATCTAGCAGTAATTGAAGACGCGGATTTACTGTGTTTTATTGCTGTAGCCTACGCACTTGAAACGATGTTGGCTGTTTGCCTCTGCACACAACGGTGAAGATAATGTCTCTTCGAAACCAACAAAATTATGCAGATGATAGTCAACTCACTCTGACGTTTCTGACCAAAGATATACTACAGCAGGTTATTTTTTCACTGCCAATGTTTGGTCTGACTTGCCACTCATTTCAAATGAGTTATCATGTTGGAGGTAATACAACGACTCCGAAATTTAAGCTTGCTCCTTGGTGCAGTTGTAACCTCGACTGGAAATCTCTGCCTTGGACTGTGCCCTGACTAAATTTACTCCACATTCAAATCCCAAATCAAGCTGACTCACAGTTTACAGTTCGAATCATAAGAGCCATTTTACGGGAAATCGTGCATGGCCATATCAATCAACCATACACCTCCTGTTCTATACAATCTATTAATATAAGTGAAAAACAGAATTTTAGACATAATCAAGGATGGTTCTCATTCAGGGAAAATAACTTGGTTTTGCCATATGGAGCGATCTGAATGAAGATCGGTCAAGGACATTTTTTTCCACTTGAGCTTTGGTATTCTGAGTTGGCAGAGTCGAGTACAATAGAATAGATCTGCTATGATCATTGTATTTCATGTAGAAAGTACTGATTACTTAACCAGGTACAGTGGGCAGTCAGGCGGACATTTGGAGGAAAAACGAAAGTGAGCTCTTTTGAGATTCAGACACCGCCTCTATACATTAGCTAATAGCCAATTTAATGCTGAAAAAAATTTGATCCAAACGCTTTTAAGGGAGCTGACAAAGTAAGTCTCAAAATTTTGGGCACTTTTGCTACAGTTTCAAGAAAATCGCTTTCTTCTATCAGAATACGATAAAGTTAAAAATTGAAGCAGATATATTCTGAAAGCTGAGCATTTGAGCTGTTGATTCATAAAAATGTTTTGAGATCAGCTCTTTTCTGTGGAAGAAAAGAAGGTTTTTCGTTATGGTGATCTGATATACAAAAGATGTGCTCGCCAAAGTGAATGCGCAAACTCAATGAAACTTTAGTCGCATTGTTCACCTATAGATGGTGCACCTACAGAAGATGCGGAAATGCTTCTACCTGAAGATATTGGTTTTCCAAAAAAAAAACCTGGTTTGTCTGAGCTTTTTCCAAGCTTTTCTTGCTTCTTCGCATGCTTTCTCAAAAATAATGATAGATTCGGGATCACCTTGAAAAACTGCATCTAGTCATTTGTCTTTTGATTACTTTCAGCTAAAGTTTTGCTCATTTTTTATAAAAGCATTGGATTACTAAGGTTTTCTCTAAACTTTGAGCTAACGTTTTTTACAATAGTCTTAAGCGAGAAAATTATGAAAATCAGTTTCTTTAGGTTTTCGGCCTTGACGAATCTAACGGAGTAATTAAAAAATTTGCTGAATGGTTTTCCAGAGATCGAATCTCTAAAAAATCCTAGAAAACAAAGAAGGCGGAATTGTGACTTTTTGTGTTGAAAACCAGTTATTTATTGACAGAATGACTTTCTAAATCAGTTACATACAGGAAAAGTGAAAAAATCTTGATTTTCAAAAAAACTTTTTTCGGGTAAAAATCGTTTTCATAAAAAAAAACTGATAATCGTTTGTGCCGTCTATCCAGAAACTGTATCTCTTTAGTCAGACTTTTTAGCTTTTCCTGAAGATTTCCCAGTGTCATTTCATCCTTCGGCAGTCCGTCTTCCAATCTCCATCGAGTATTTGACAAATCATATATCATCTTGTCCAAATGTTCTTTGAATCGCTGATATTCATTTCTAACGGGTTCGATGTCTTCAATTTTAAAAAGAATTTCAATATTCTCGTTAACATAGTCACTGAGATAATTGGATTTTGTCGAGAGATTTTCACCTTCATTTGCCTTCACAAGTGGAAAAGTGAAAAAATCTTGAATTTCAAGAAAAAAAATTTTCAGGTAAAAGTCGGTGAGTAGATAGAAAAAGACAGAAAAATCGGTGGTAAGAGAGAGTGCACGAGATTATCGAGAAAGCTCAAAAGGAGTCATTAGAAATTAGACAACCTGGCCGATTGCTTCCCGAGAAAATCTATTTTGTGTTCAATTCGAATAAAAGACATATTTCCTATCTCCGTTCTCTTCGCTAATTCCAAATATCACCACACTTTTTACTTTTGATCAACTTTTTTTGCAGGAAAAACGCAAAAAACTAAAATTGATACGTTGATTGGCCATGCTTTGTTTCCAAAATTTGGCCATCACCACCCCCATTCAAACTTCTAGAGCATACCCTACCTTGTAGAAAATTGATTTTCTACAGCATTTGCTAGACATGTTGTACATTAAAAAATGTTTTTTAACATTTGTCTTTGTCGATGTACATTTTTCTTTAACAGTAGTTCCAATTCGATTTGGCCGTTTTTTTTGTCCGTTTGTGAATGTTAACGAGCCGTTTTCTTTAGTCGGATGATATTATTATGAAAATATAATGATATTATCCTTTGCGTACGATTTTCGAGACAAAGGCAGAACGTAGTTGACATCAGGACAAACGTATTGTGATTTGTTAATTAAACGTTATTCGACTCAGTTTTGGGCGGGTTTCGAAAGTATGCTATGTGACTTCACTACTCTCTAAAACATTTTCGCATTGTACAGAATCATAAAAGGGTATTTCCATGCTGGGATACCCTTTCTGGAATCTCTGAGTAACAAATGTAAATACCCTCTTTTTGTGGTTCTGTGAAATGGGAAATACTCTCAAAGAAATCTTACACAACAAAAAAGGATACACTGAAATACCAAAATGGCATTGTAAAATACGGTTAAGGGTATATCTAATTTTTCAGAATCAAAAAAGATATTTACATTTGTCTCAGAGATTCCAAAAAGGGTATCCCAGCATGGAAATACCCTTTTATGATTCTG